AAATTCACACCCTTGAGTGACGGTTTCAGAGCTCAAGCGCAGGCTGCCGTGGCCGCTGCTGTCGCTGATGAAGCATTTGGAAATATCCGAACAGTTCGATCCTTCGCCATGGAAAGGCAGGAATCAAGGTCGCTTTCTTTCTTTTGTTTTGTTGAGAAGGATATCGTTTCATAGTTGTAACTAGGTGTTTTTCAGTCTATACGAAAGAGAAGTCCAAAAAGCTTCCTCGATGCAAGAGTTGTTAGGAGTAGGCATAGGATTATTTCAAGGTTTCGTAGTTTTCGCATATCGTATTTGAAATTTCTTTCAATTTCGTGCACATTTTCTAGGAGCTACTAACTTCTTTTTGAATGGAATCGTTTTATCTGTTCTTTACGGCGGTACGTCTCTAATGAAAGAAGGTATCGCATTTATTGGTCTCTTTTCCATTTCTGAGCAGAATTTTACCGTTTGCTCTTTAAATAGGCAGGATGACTCCTGGAGAGCTGATGGCATTCCTGGTAACTGCGCAAACTATTCAAAAATCTTTAAGTCAGCTTTCCATAGTGTTCGGTACTACACTCAAAGGATGGACGGCCGGAGCTCGAGCTTTTGAGGTTGCTCTTTTCATTTATTTCCTGTTTACATTCGAACTCTGGGGAAATTCGACTTTTCATATTTAACTCTTGCGTATTTATAAGATTTTAGTTCCTCCATTTGCATCCGAGCATACGGAATGATGACGGTGTTTGTATTCCGTACCATTCGCTATGTGGAGAAGTTCGTTTCGAAAATGTAAGCTTCGCATATCCGTCTAGGCCACACCACCAGGTCTTCGAATGCTTGAACCTTACAATACCAGCCGGTCAAGTCGTTGCACTCTGCGGACCAAGCGGGGAAGGTACGCTAGGACGATTTCATTTTGAGCTTGTTCGGATAGCAATTTTATGACTTCGACTAATTGTAAGTAACGTTATTAAGGTAAAAGCACGATAACCTCACTGCTTGAACGGTTCTATACGCCACTCTCTGGACGAGTGCTCTTGGACAATCAAGATCTTGCAACGCTGAATTTGGAGTGGTTGCGAGGGCAGGTATGTTTGCTCATTCACCCTGTCAACATAGACGAAGTCGAAGATTTGGCAGCGAATCGAGATCCTCTAGTTGCTTATTGAGGAGGCTAGTTCATCTCTAGTCAAGGAATGCAGAACCATTCCATCTAATACTTGTTTTGCTTGAGGTGATTGGATTGATTTCACAAGAACCAGTTCTTTTCGCTACTAGTATTGAGGAGAATATTCGTTACGGTAAACCATCAGCTACAGATGAGGAGGTGGTTATTTTTCTACTTATTCTCTAATTTCATTAGATTGCTTTGAAATAC